AGATTATCGAGTCAATCTAATAAAAATAACCAGTGAAATCATCAAATATTTAAAATTGTGTCGATTCCATGGCGGGCCCGGACTTGTCTAGAGCACACGCCTCTAAACGGACCCGCCGACGCAGTGAAAGTTGCTTCTTCCGACCCACAGACCTCATCACTTATCGCGCTGACGCCTCGCCTCTCTCTTTCCTTTTCTTCCTCTTGCTATCTCTCTTTCTCTCTCTCTCTTTCCTCCGTACGTTTACGCTTCTATGGGCCGCGTAACGACTTTGTTTGCGATTGCGTATTTGGGTTGCATCTGCTTAGCTTCTTTCACGCGAGGTTGGTAGCAACATAAATCGACACATTTTTATTCAGTGTTAATTCAAGCTGTTATATAGGTTATACTGTGTTTTGTTAAGAGTAACATATACGTAGATATTTGCATCAGGGAATCTAATCAAATTAATAGGCACGCAGTAGCAGCTCAGCAAACGTATTGTGATCATTATTTAAGTGGCATTGAAGTTGGCGCTCATCATCACCAATTAAACCGGGAGGCTGTTAATTCTTGCGCAAATGCACGAGCGTCTTCACGGCCGGAAAGTGACCTTGCCTCCCTCTTCGCCCTGCAGATGGCGTGGCTGCACATGACCGTGGTGATCCTGGCGGCGCTGGCGAAGTCGAACCACGCCCAGGCCAACCAGGGTTACATCGCTCCCGACCCGCCGTGCTACGCCCCGACAGTCACTGTTTACGACACGGTGACGGAGGTCAACACGCTCGTGGAGACGGTTTCCACCACGATCGTCGAAAATGTGGTGGAGACGGAGACCGCGTACGTCACGGAGACGCTGACGGAGAGGGAAGTGCAGTCCGTCACGGAGGTGGAGACCGTCGTCGCCACGGAAACGGAGCAGGTGAGGCCTCTGTTGCTATGACAGTTAATGATCTTTGGTGATTTGGCAATCGATTAGGCCTATTGTACTAAAAAAAGGGTCTATACATTACTTGTCACACTTCGCAAAGGAATATGTTCGGACAGTTTGATATAACGATTCTTGCCTGTCATCATTAGCATATAACGTACATAGTCTACTCGGGAATTCACTGCATATCCGTCCCACTGATATGAGGTTTTATGAAAAATATCTTTCTTATTAAGTGGTTATTTATTTATATATTCGTAGATCCTGCTTTGCCTGTATTTCCTATGGCTCTCTAGACTAAACACCTTGTTATCCGCAGGTCATAGCGACGGCATACGAAACAGTCTACGAGACACAGGTGGAGACGCAGACGCAGACGCAGGTGGAGGAGCGTACAGCCACCGTCACCGAAACGAAGGTCGAGGAAGTTGAAGTGACCAAGTGCGCCGCCCCCGCCCCCGCCCCGGCTCCCAAGCCTGCCCATGGCCTTTCTACGTCCTACGGCCCCCCACCGCGCCCATCCTACAAAGCCCCTGCGCCGGCGCCCTCTTACGGCCCCACGCCCATGCTGATGAGTCTGGGCGGCTTCAAGGGCTACCCCGGCTTCAAAGGATTCGATTTCCAAGGATTTAACCCATTTTCTCAATACGAATCTAGCGACTAAATTTCTAATACTTGTCGATTTTAAAGTCCATTTATTTATGTTTTAGTCTCCCTTAGTACATTTTCGGATGTTTTTATTTACATCAGATATGGTTTTCAGTATTTGCCATAATTTCTGTTTCTAAAACTTTTTCAACTTTTCAACTCTAGTCTGCTTCCTGAACCGGAGGATGTAAATGTGGATTCCTTTCAACCTATTGAAGATTTATTAATTCAGCAAAAAAAATCATTCTGAAGTTTATTCGTAATGATAGAGAAAAAAGCAAATAGGACCACAATGTCCCTCTGGCGCCAAAATTTGAAAATGTCGGTTATGACGCCGGTTACGTTATGACCTCATGGAAACATTCATGTCTCCATTTCCTGTGCCTCTTTTTCGTGTTTTGGTGTAAATAAACCAAATGTATTTATAATGCTCGCATTAATTTTACCTTCACTGACTATATATATACACACACATCGTCGAATATATATATATATATATATATATATATATATATATATATATATATATACATATATATATATATATATATACACACGCACACACACACACACACACACACACACACACACACATATATATATATATATATATATATATATATATATATATATATATATATATATATATATATATATATATATATATATATATACTGTATACATACATATATAAATAGTCTATATATATTTTGCCAGATAATATAATTTCCTTCGCGAACATAAAGCAAATATATTAATTTGCCGCAGCGTGTGTCCAATATAAGCAGACGAGGATTTTGTCCTCTACAGAAATCTCACGCTCTTTTCGAAACATTTGTATCCCAGAATATTTAAGACCCTTTCTGGTCAAAAAAAAGATGCGAGTGAAGGAGTGTTGATTGGTCTGCGCGGGTGAAGTCTTTTTTTTTTATAATAAAGGTT